AGCACCAATCACGGCTTGATGGTCGGGGAGGTGACTGTCTATTGGGATAGCATTTCACTGGCCAGGGCCTTGGTCCAACGAAGTGTTAGATTCAAGTATCTGTACCTGATGTTGTGTGGCCAGGATAGGGTGGGCATTCTGCTTGTATACTGTCCACCCCGCTGTACAGCAAATGCTCTCCTTGAGCTGGCCAAGGTGGTCTCGAATGTGGCACTGAGGACCCTGAGGCTTCTGGTCGTGGGGGACTTTAATATTCATGCCGAGGCTGTCCTGTCTGCTCCAGCCTGAGATTTTATAGATACCAGGATGACCCTAGGACTACCCCAAGAAATAACTGCCCCCACACATGCGGCAGGTCATACACTCTATCTGGTCTTTTGGACTGAGAGTGATAGAGTTCTTGGGTTAAGGGATGTGGTTACACTCCCTTTGTCATGGACTGATCACTACCTGCTCAAGTTTAGACTATCTGCTGACCTTCCCCTCCATGGGGGTGTGAGGGACCGATAAAATATGAGGGCAGGGGACTGGACTCAATGACCTCTCGAGGTCCCTTCCAGTTCTAGTATTCTATGATTAAGATGGCCCAGCCTTGGAAGTTGATGGATCCCGGAGGGTTTCCTGAATTCCCTGAGGGATTGTTCAGCAGTTATGGCAAATGGTCTTGTCGATGCCCTAGTCAATATATGGAATATCGAGGTAGCTCAGGCAATTGACATAATTGCTCTTAAGTGCCTTCTTCGGGCTAGCTGAGCCAAGTTTGATCCCTGGTTTCCTGGGGAGTTGATGGTGGCAAAACGGTCTGTGCCATGGCTAGAATGCTGCTGCAGGAGAACTAAAGTTGAGTCCGACTGATTGCAGGTTAGAGCTGAATTGCGAGCTTACTCTGTGGCCATGCTGACAGTGGAAAAAAAGATACTTCTTCACCCGTATCGCATCCGCAAAATGCCAACCAGTGGAACTGTTTCGAGTGGTGCGGGGCCTGTTACAGTCTGGCACTCATGATGAAATGGAGGAGTTCTTGGCTCCCTGCTGGGATATGTTCGCAAAGCACTTTGTGGATAAGATCGCTCACAGAGTCTGATTTGGACTCTGACTGCTGTGTAAGTGGGGGATAGAATGTGTTGAATGCACCATCCCGTTGTTTTTCTTTGGAACAGTTTCAGCTGTTGCAGATCGAGGATGTGAATAAGGTGCTTGGAGGAGTGCGACCGACCATGTGCTAGCTCAATCCCTGCCCTTCATTGCTTAAATCTAGCTGGGAAAGGATGACTGGTTGGGTCCAGGGGATTATTAATGAGTCTTTTAGATCTGGTATGGTTCCTGCCACCTTGAAAGATGCAGTGATAAAACCGCTACTTAAGAAGCCTTCCCTGGACCCATAGGATTTGAATAACTATCATCCAGTTGCTAGTATTCCCTTCTTGGGCAAAGTACTTGAGCAGGAGGTGGCGTTGCAACTCCAAGCTTTCTCGGAAGAAACAGATTATTTAGATCCATTTCAGTCTGGCTTTAGGCCTGGTTTTGGAACTGAAACCGCCTCGGTCGTCCTGGTAGATGACCTCTGCTGGGAGACAGATGGGGTAGTGCATCCCTGATGATTCTCTTGGACTTCTCAGAGGCTTTTGGTACCGTCGACCATGGTATCCTTCTGGAATGCACGGAAGGCGTTGGGTATCAGAGGTACTGTTTTGTGGTGGTTCCAGTCTTATTTGTAGGAACGCCTTCAGAAGGTGGAGCCAGGAGGCTGCTATTCGACCCCTGTGGCAATTGTGCTACGGAGCCCCGCAAGATTCCATCTTGTCCCCTATGCTGTTTAAACAAATACATGAAGCCGCTGGGCGAGGTTGTAAGGAGTTTTGGAGGATGGTGCCATCAATATGCAGATGACACCCAATTCTTTTTCCCTGTGACATCAGAACCAGGTGTGGCAGTGACGGATTTAAACCAGCGTCTGGAGGCGGTGATGGACTGGATGAAGTCAAACAAGCTGAAACCGAGTCCAAATAAGACTGAGGTCCTGTGGATCAGGAGGCCATCTGTTCAGGAATGTGGTGTGGTACCTCTTCTTGATGGGGTTACACTCCCCCTTAAAGAAAGGTACGCCGCTTGGGAGTCCTCCTAGACCCTTTTTTAACATTTGAGAACCAGATTTCTTCGGTGGCCAGGAGTGCTTTTGGACAGCTTTGGCTGACCTGCCAGCTGCGACCCTTCCTGAACAAGCATGACTTGGCCACAGTGATCCATGCTCCTGTTGCAATAATCCAATCAGGAAGTAATGTGCTTTATGTGGGGCTGCCTCTAAAGAGCCTTTCAACTGGTCCAAAATGGAGCTGCTTGAGTTTTAACTAATACTTATTATACGGAGCACATTATACCAGTGCTCCGGCAGCTGCATTGGCTTCCGCTATGTTTCTGAGCACAATTTAAAGTCTTGGTTATGACCTATAAAGCCCTAAATGGGTTGGCTCTGGGGTATATGAAGGACCATCTTCTCCCATATGAACTTGCCCAGGGATTGAGGTCAGCTGGGGATGCTCTGCTCAGTGTTCCTCCACTTATGGAGTCAAGATTAACATCTACGCGGAACAGGGACATCTCAGCTTTTGCTCCCAGGCTGTGAATTCTCTCCCCTGGGATATTCGCATGTCACCAATGTTAGCATTGTTTCGGCATCACGCCAAAGCCACCCTTTTTACTCATGCTTTTATGAGTGTTTGAGTTTGTAGGTGTGTATCCCTCCTCTCAAGATGTCTTAAGCAGGTTTTATGTCTCTCTGCGGTCTAGTATTTATTTTAATTTTTATATATATTTATATTGTGTTTTTTAAAAAAGTTGTAAGCTGCCTTGATTATTTTAAATAGACAGGCAGGGTAAAATTTTTTAAATAAATAATAAATAAATTAAAACAGAATAAGGAAATGTTATTTATTCCTTCACCAACATGACACAAGAAGCTGACGCAATTTAATTTATAGGCAGCAGATTTAAAACAAACAAAATAAATTATTTTTTTACGATCGGCTTGTGGAACTCTGCCAAGAGATGGTGGAAAGGCCCAAACTATAGCAGGGTTCCAATAAGAGCTAAGTAAGTTCAAGGAGGATTATTCATCCTAGAATACTCAGTCAGCTGACTGAGGCGCTATCTGAGCCGTTAGCTATCATCTTTGAAAAAACATGGAATTCATGAGAGATTCCAGAAGACTGGAAAAGGGCGATAGTGCCCATCGATAAAAAGGAAAAAAAACCAACAACCCAGGAAACTACAGACCAGTCTAACCCCTCTGCCAGGGAAGATAATACAGCAAGTAATTAAGGAATTCATCTGCAAACATCTGGAAGATAATAAGGTTGACAGGTAACAGCCAGCATGGATTTGTAAAGAACAAATCACGTCAAACCAATGCGACAGCTCTCTTTGATAGGATAACAAGTCTTGCGGATAAGGGAGAAGCAGTGTGGTATACCTAGACTTTAGTAAAGCATTTAATACAGTCTTGCATGACCTTATCAATGAACTGGGAAAATACAACCTAGACAGGGCTACTATAAGGTGGGTGCATAACTGGCTGGATAACTGTTCTCAGAGAGTAGTTATTAATGGTTCACAGTCATGCTGAAAGGGCATAACAAGTGGGGTTCCACAGGGGTATGTTTTGGGACCAGTTGTGTTCAATATCTTCATCAATGATTTAGATAATGGCATAGAGAGTATCCCTCTGCCAGGGAAGATAATACAGCAAGTAATTAAGGAATTCATCTGCAAACATCTGGAAGATAATAAGGTTGACAGGTAACAGCCAGCATGGATTTGTAAAGAACAAATCACGTCAAACCAATGCGACAGCTCTCTTTGATAGGATAACAAGTCTTGCGGATAAGGGAGAAGCAGTGTGGTATACCTAGACTTTAGTAAAGCATTTAATACAGTCTTGCATGACCTTATCAATGAACTGGGAAAATACAACCTAGACAGGGCTACTATAAGGTGGGTGCATAACTGGCTGGATAACTGTTCTCAGAGAGTAGTTATTAATGGTTCACAGTCATGCTGAAAGGGCATAACAAGTGGGGTTCCACAGGGGTATGTTTTGGGACCAGTTGTGTTCAATATCTTCATCAATGATTTAGATAATGGCATAGAGAGTATACTTATAAAGTTTGCAGATGATACCAACCTGGGAGGGGTTGCAACTGCTTTGAAAGAGGGTCAGAATTCAAAATGATCTGGACAAACTAGAGAAATGGGCTGAACTTAAACAAGATGAAGTTCAACAAGGACAAATGCAAAGTACTCCACTTAGGAAACATAAGAACATAAGAACGGCCGTACTGGGTCAGACCAAAGGTCCATCTAGCCCAGTATCCTGTCTGCCGACAGTGACCAGCACCAGGTGCCCCAGAGAGGGTGGACCGAAGACAATGATCAAGCGATTTGTCTCCTGCCATCCCTCTCCAGCCTCTGACAAACAAAGGCCAAGGACACCATTTTCTCCCCTGGCTAATAGCCTTTTATGGACCTAACCTCCATGAAATTATCTAGCTTATAAAGGGATAACAAGTCTTGTGGATAAGGGAGAAGCAGCGTATGAAAGAACAATCAGTTTCACGCTTATAGAATGGGAAGCAACTGTCTAGGAAGGAGCACTGCAGCAAAGGATCTAGGGGGTCACAGTGGACCACAAGCTAAATATAAGTCAACAGTGTGACACTGTTGCAAAAAAAGTGAACAAGATTCTGGGATTCATTAACAGGAGTGTTGTAAGCAAGACACAAGAAGTTATTTTTCCACTCTACTCTGCACTGATTAGGCCTCAGTTGGAGTACTGTGTCCAGTTCTGGGTGCCACGTTTCAAAAAAGACATGGAGAAATTGGAGAAGGAACAAAGAAGAGCAACAAAAGTTATTAAAGGTCTAAAAAACATAACCTATAAGGGAAGACTGAAGGAATT